TATTTATCATGTCGGTGAAGCGCTCCTGCTCAAGACCAAGACGACAGAAAGCGCATCCTGTTTGTTTTCCTTATTTTACAAAAGCACAAGGTTTTGTTGATATTGTGTGAGTGCACAAAAATACAAGTAGCATTTGCAGTTCCGAATGATGTATACTCTTACCTTTGTGAGCAAAAATGTCGGCATATTTTTAAGTTTCCACTGTTATTAAAAATAAAATGCAAGTGATCGCGCTGGCGCCTCCATGTCCTGCAGAGCGCGCTTTAGCTTCTGGGTTGTGGCCAGCTATGCAGATTTTGCTCACCAATTGTCATTGGCCTTTTCTCAAAGATGTCAGAGGTGTCTGGGCTCCCAAGTGCGACCCCTAGTGTCGGACTTCGACACAACGTCGAAGTGACCGACTGAAAGGGAAACCTGGTTATTGTGCATTTAAACCACATTCTGTTCATTACTTTCTGGTTTATTTATGTATGACTGCAAATGTGCATCACATTAAGTTTATTATTTTATTTTATTTATTTTTTGAGTGCAAGACTAAAGGAAAATAAATACATTTTATAAAATGTTATTTTTATAATTTTAAAACCAAAATCCCATATGCCTTTTTATGTGTTCCAAAATAAGTCCTGCATTTTAAGAGTAGATCAAAATTGAAAAAACAAAACATATTTTGGTTTTTACAATTTATTTTTTAGAAATGTATGATGGATAAAAGGCCCAAATAAAAGGCCCAACACAAATGTGTTGGAGTTTCACAAAGTAACAAGTGCATAAACTTGAAGAACAAAGGTAATCAATATGAGAAGATTAAGATGAATTGCTTTTATGATACTTTGTCACATTTGAATAGTTGCACTTATACAAACACAGATACAACATACACAACACACAATGCCTACCAACCCCAAAACGAGTTAGGTTAAATGCATAGATACCCTTAAAAATCCAACATTTTAATTTAATAAGAGTTACACTAAAACAAACAAACAAAAACAAGGTTTTACTAGGGTCAGGATAGTAGAAAAGAAACTGCTTCAAGTTCCTGAGGTATCTTTGAAGACAGCTTATAATCCTCAGTACTTAGATGCTGTCTACTGCAGTTACGACAAGCACTTTGTTCTTATAAGACTAAAATTGGTAAGCCTAGATC